GGTTGAGACAGGATCTTACTAATTAGTTCAGGCTGACCTCAAACTCATAGCAATACTCCTGCCTCAGCCTCCTGAGTGCTGGTATTATAGGTATGCAACACTATACCCGGCTCAGATAACATTTGTTGTTATGTATATACAGGGAAACATATGCACATAACATGTGTATAACAACAAATGATCTGCAAAATGCTGTTATTGGTTAAGTGAGTTTTGTGCATATGTAGGATACAGAGTCATTGTACAAAAATCAGTTGATGTCTATGGCAAACAATTGGAAGTTTAAACTTAGTATCAGTACCATTTACAATAGCATCAAAACAATAATACTTAGGCATTTAAAAGAAACCTGTAGACTGAAAATTACAAAACACTGGTGAGGGAAATCAGAGAAGACCTAAATAAGTGGAAACCATGTTCATTGATTGAAAGATTCAGCAATGTGAAGATGTCTGTTCCCTAAACTGGAATATAAATCAGTGTGAGCCCAACTGAAACCCCAGTAGTCTTTTAATCAGTAAGCTTGTTATGAGATCAGAGGGGGAAAGCAAAGAAACTAAAATAAGAAAATAATGTTGAAATACTATGACACTATGAAAGGGGACTCAGCCATGGCTTCAAGTCTCGCTGTAAAGCTAAGGTCACGAGGACAAGTGTGGAATTGGGAAAAGGACGGGTGCGTGCAGATCAATGGGATAGAGTACAGAGCCCCAAAATAGAACCACACAAACGTTCAGGTGGTTCACAACTAAGGTGTGAGGCCAATCCAATTCAACAGAGAAAACTTTTCAACAAGTGGTGTCATAGGACAATTAACTCAATGTGAGTCAGCCTCTAAATGTGTATCCCCAGACTATAAAACTTCTAGAAGAAACAAAAGAAAATCTTCTTGACTTCGAATTACACAGAGACTCTTTTAGTAAACTGCTAAAAGGCACAAACCGTACAAGATGAAAATGACAAATTAGACTTCATCACAATTTGAAACTGCTCATTGAAATAGTGCCATTAAGAAAATGAAAATATATGCCACAAAGCTAAAAGAAAGCTGTAAAACATACACTTGACAAAGATCTCACATGTGATGTACTTTAAAAAGTCTCAAAATTCCATAAGGAAGAGAGGAACATAATTTTAAAACCATCAGAAGATGTGCACCGACCATTCACTGAGAGAGGTATAAGCAGCAAACAAGCACAAGAAACGAGGCTCATCACGAGCCAGTTATGAGGGAAGCACAGATTGCCACAGCGCGTCCCAGTATGCCTCCACCAGAACAGTGAATTCTGGGAAGCTGTCCATAACAAACACTAGCAAAGGATATGGAGCCACCAAAGCACTCACACCTGATCATACACATGCACAATACTGTAGATACTTTTGGAAAGTCTTATAAAGTTGTCTTGTAAAGTTAGACATCCGCCTTGAGGGCACAAGTCCCAGCAGTCCTGCTCCTGGATATCCATGCAGAGGAGTGAGCACCAATGAGTGTCTCCAGTAGCTTATTTATAGTCACCCCAACTGGAAGCAACGAGGATATCTTCCACTGATGGACCGATAAACCATGATAGAGTGAGAGAAAAATAATGAACTGACATAATAAATCACACGTGTACCTCGCTAAGTGGAAGAAGACACTGAGTGTGTGGCCCATTTACACAATGCTACGGGGCAGGCAGAACTGTTGGGGCAGGAAACAGATGAGTGGTGCCAGGCCTGGGGCAGCAGGGAAGGCTGCTCCACTGGGCCCCTAAACGTGCTTAAGTGCCAAGACTGCTCTCTGTCATGATTTGTATAATCACGTAACTGTAGCTTTTCATTTTGGGTTGGTATTGCTCTTGTGAGACGGGATCTTGGCATACAGCTCAAGGTGGCCTTGAGCTCGCTCTGTAGCACAGGGCAGCCTTGAGCTTGTGGCCGTCCTCCAGCCTCAGCTTCGTGAATGCTGCATCACTGTGCCTGGCTAGGTGACTAAGGTTTTGCCAAACCAGAACTGTTCCTAAGCGATTGAAACTTGCCATTCATAATAAATTGTATCTCGGGGCTGGGGATTTAGCTCAGCGGCATAAGCGCCTGCCTTGCAAGCAGGCAGTCGTGAGTTCAATCCCTGGTACTGATAAAAACGAAAAAAAAAAGACAAAAAAAAAAAAAAAGATTAAATTATATCTCAATTAACCTAACTTTAGGGGGAAAGAACTTTTCCCTCTTGTGACAAAGTCTTACTTAAGGAAAAAGTGTAGTAAGATAATGCAAGTGCTCTTGCGTGGGTGTGAGTAGATGTCTCGAGCTCTGGTGGTCACTTCAGAGCTCACCATGGCCTGATGATTCACACTCAGAAAGGTGCTCCAGCGAGGGAGGTGCTGGCTCAACCAGCACGGGACTCTTCATGGCCTAGCACACTGCTGCTCTGTTTGGAGTGTGGTCATGTGCGTGCATGCGTGCGTGCGTGCATGCGTGTGTGTGTGTGTGTGTGTGTGTGTGTGTGTGTGTGTGTGTGTGTAAAGGTGGAAATAATAAGCATCAAGGTGAGACGCAAGTGACGGAGCACTTGTCCTTGCTCCATGTGGAGGAGCACACTCTAGGAGGTAGAAGCGGAGGCGTGGGTTCCTCCTCCCTTACCCTTCACCCAGACCTTTCCAATTTTGATGGTCACATTCCTGCTCTGAATTTGATGCAACACACCTTGAAGCTTTTTTTAATTCAGAGTGATGGAAAATAAGACTCCAGATTCTCAGCTTCTCCTACAAGGCCTTACTCCCTATGAAATGCTCCCTATTAGCCTCTTGGGAACCCTTAATTCTTCCTTTGTTCCCAAGCCCCAGGTTTCTCTTTGTGACCGGAAAGGAGTGAACCTCATTAGTTTGCAACCCTCATGCCTCTGTGGGAGGCCACAGGACTATAATTGGTTTCTGCTGAGGAGGAGCCAAGAGGCACAGAAATCATGCCTGTCCCGTGATCTTCATCATGCAACACTTACGCGTGGCTCACGGCTTCCGGGAGCTGTGTCAGCTTGTTTACCAAAAAAGCTTTTATTCAGCCAGGAGAGAAATGGCTGCAGGGCAGCACGGTGGTTGCATGGGAAGGATGTTTAAGAGTCTCCTAGAAGGGGAAATAATCATTGGCCAACAGGCCCCTCTGTTCTGCCGGGCCCTGGTCAGGTCCCCAGAGCTCCCTGCCTAGCACCTTCTCTTGGCACCCTCCGCCCTCTCCTGTCTCTCCATCCCCCATTGCCTCCGCTGTACCTTCTCTCCTTCCTACCTCTGGCCAGCCTGTGGGCCTGGTGATCAGAGCTAACTGTGACTAGGAGGACCCTTGGGTACTTGGGGTTACAGCATTAGGATCCCAGGCCCAGCCCTCTCAAGAGCTCAGCAGAGGCCTCTTCTGAGAGATCCAAAACAACCAGCAGCCTTGCTGAAAGGCAGAGGCCTGGGCCCAAGTCCGTGGTGCTGTTGGTTGATGCCCCTCTGAGACCTACCAGGCATCCCGTGTGCAGGCTGCCTTGGTCCTTACTGTCATTGTTGTCTTGAGCAGTGGACTCTGGGCAGGGACACAGAGAACTGGCCAAGAACCTGGAATTCTGTCCCCTCAGTCCATCCCCCTCCCTGCTCAAAACACCTTTTACATCTGTTCCTCTAGCACACTCCCAGAGAAACTGGAGTCTCATTAAAGTGTAATATCTCCTTCCTACACAGGCTTTGAGTTTTTCCCTTAATATTGCTCTACATTATTGGTCATTTGTCATTTCTTTTCTAATAAGCTCTGGATTGTCATAAAATGAAGCCAGTTGTTATGAATCCACAGTCTGTCCCATGAGCTGTTGCAGGGTTGTTTCTAAACCAATAAGCATTTCAAGGGAGGCATTTGACAGCTTTTCCTGGCACTTCTGGGTTTGGGTGTCCTCTGTTCCTCTTGTTGCTTTTCTTCCAGGTATGAGTTTTTACAATTTTTAAGAAGAAAGAGAAAAGGCATTGCATATGTTTTTACATGTGCAAGATAGATAACCATACTACTAATTCTGTTAGTGCATCAAAAAGAATAGTTTGTGCTGTCATTGTTTGTCTGTTCATTTTTTTATGCTTTGATTTTATAACCTGAGCAACTACTTCTAAGATAACAAAATGTAATATATTAACATGTTGATTTCTTACTGTTTTTTTTTAAATTCTGTATTATTTATACCTTTTTCTGTCTTGCTTTTTTAAAATAAATAAAAAATAATATGCTAGAAGACACACTGCAGGTGACCTGTGAGAACAGTGGGAAAGAGGGTTTGCATTGGCTGTTAGAGGTGATGCCTAGCATTCATGGGGACACAGGAGTATTCTGTGAGCGTATGTGGGTGAGGGCTGCTCAGAGCTCCCTGTGTGTGGAGGCTCCCTGGTTCCCGTCACAAGTATACTCGCAGCACAGCCTGGCCGGTCTGCTCAGGGTCCATTAGCCCGGGCTTTCTTTACCAGAGGAAGCAACTTTTTAAATGACAAATATGGGTTCTCTTTGCCTTGCATTGTCATCCTTGTTGACCCTGAGGCTGGTCATAGGAACTCCTCTGTGCACTATCAGCCAGGAAGAAGTAACATTTTATCTTGTTTGATATCTGCTATATTTTGGGACTTTATAACTAACTCTTATCTTTCTAGCCAGGAGTCAGAATCAGCCAGATTTGCCTACTGGGTGCAAAATGAAGGAAACACAAACAAGGGTTAGTGTCAAATCCGGGAGTAGGCAGAGCCCAGCCCTCAGGGTCTGGAAGGCAGTGCCTAGGTCTCTGCTCGCATCCCCGTTTGTCTCCCGAGGAGTCTCAGCATCCCAGGCCCAGGGCATGGGGTAGAGAGGTGCTGCCCTGTGAGCTCTGCAGCTGATGGGAGTGTTCAGATTGGCCAGGAACACTGTTCTGTGCCTAACTGTGGAGTAGCTGAGCACAGGGCTAGATGACCCTGAAGCATAGAAAGCTTTTTACTACTTTTTAGTTGCTGAGAGTAATGGGTGTTTTGTCATTGAAGATCCCTGAAGAACATGACCTGGAGAGCCAGATCCGAAAGGAGCGGGAGTGGCGATTCCTGCGAAACACCCGCGTCCGGAGGCAGGCACAGCAGGTCATCCAGAAAGGTAAGGCCTCCGAGCGCAGTCTGCCCAGGAGAGAGGCTGGGCTGGGAAGGACAGCCCGGCCCTGTGAGCAGACCATCTGCTCACAGGACCACATCTGCCAGGCCCCTGGACCTTGCCCTACCTCCTGCCAGCCCAGGGTACCCCTGCACCTCCCTTGCAGGTAAGCACAAGCTGGTGGAGATGAGGTCATTTGAGGTCAAACAGCAGCTGGAGCTGGGGGCAGGGAAAGGGCAGACTGCAGAAAAGGGCTGCCTCAGGGAGGGGACCATGCTGCCCTGGGCACTGTCAGCTGCTGGCATCCTCTCCAAGGACCAGCACTTCTGTTCTTTGAGGTTCCCAAAGCGGGAAGGCCCAAGCCCTCTGGGGCTCTGGTGAAACGTGTCTCACCTGGCAGGGTCTTTCCCAGGAATGTAAAACAGGACTAGGCCTGGTCCTGTTCAGCTGGTCTCCACACGTCCCTGGGGTTATTGCCAACTCTGTCACCCAGACTGTAGTGCAGTCAAATCTTCACCAAGCCTTTCTCAGCCTTGCCAGCAGACACCAGAAGTGCCCTGTTGCATGCACTCCCAGCCTTTCCTGGAGAATGGGCAGTGAGCCACTAAGGACAGCAGGTGTGCACCACTGCTGGGGCCAGCGAGGGTGAGCACCTGCGAGCAGGTCTGGGCTTCGCCCCCTCACCTGCTTGAAGGCTGTGCAGGAAGTAGGGAGCCCGAGGGTGCACAGGGATGTGAGCCAGGCAACCTCTCCCAGGGCCGCACCCGCAGTTCTGAGCACCTCACGAATCAGCCATGGCTGGAGACCTCCTGTTGCCCAGCACAGCATGGCCAGTCTGCAGGGTCTGCCCCTGCTCTGTAGATTCACACAACCTCACCTCTCTGCCTGTGGGATTTGTGATGAGGATGCATTACCTCCTGGGTTGAGATTGTACCCCACAAGACTGACCGTTTCCCTTTCCCACGCCTAGGCAGGGACCTCACAGTTTCTGGCCTGGCCTGGCTGCAGATGCAGGATGGCATCTGTCTCTATCAAGTGACTCCCACACATCCTGCTCCATTGAGCACCGGAGCTACCACCACTGGCCCTAGGCTAACCGTGTCACAGAAGCACTCTCCCACATGCTTGTCCTACATCTGCGTGCTCTCCCCAAGTGGTGCTAAGAACTGACCTGGCTGCAGACCTTTCTCCTTCCCTCCACAAGGCACTGACAGGCCACATTCAAAGCACTCAGTATCTTGGAGTGCAACATGTGCTGTCCTGGCAGCATATGCAGCCGTGGACCACTCACACCATGGGCACAGGAGGCGACTGTCTGGGAGGGTCTGATTCTTTAGGCCCCCAGCCTGCCGGCACAGTTAGCTGCCCATGGCTCAGAGGCTGGAAAGAGCTGTCCCCTGCAGGAAGGGCTGCACTGAGCCAGGCACGCGAGAAACAGAAGTGGGTTTTTTAGACAAAAATAAAAAAAAATATCTTTGTAAATCAGAATAAATCACTCTAAATAGAGCACACAAAAACACAAATGCTAGTGAACTTCCAGGAACATCAGCAGGTGAGACTGGGAGATGCTGACAGACTCGATGCTGGGAACAAGGGTACAGAGTGCAGCCAGGGTGTCGCCAGTCACCACCAGGCTTGGCATTGGGTTGCAGTGCACACTTTTATTTTACAGCCAGCTATGTATTAGGAAAACAGTGGAAGAGTAGATGCCTGTAGACTGAACAAAATTAAGTGGAGCCAGAAGCTGGGCAAGTCCATGTGGGTGCTCTGCTGTCCCTGAGCCATCTGTCAGTAATCCCTGAAGACATTCCTGACCTAGGCTGTCACCCCTGACACTTGCTTACATGCACAGCACATCCAGTGACAGGATGTTTATCTTTTTGTGCTCAAAAGTATGACCACTTTTGGCTTCATTTAAAAAACCTTAACCAAAAGTGAAGGTGCCCCAGGCTAGAGCCTGTGTTGCTACTTAAACCTGTGGGGTTGTTTTCCTCGATTAGTGTATCCCCTTTGCTCACAAAGCAGTTGTGATCTCCTGGCCGCTGCCACTGATATTTACCTCTTGAGAAAGAGAGGCTGGGGGATCAGGAGGTTGCAACACAGCTGAACTGCTGAGTGCTGAGCATGTCAGCCGTCCCACCAACTAGCCCTGGCACTACAGGCCTGGTTCCACCTGAATAGCACACACAGCTCACAGCACGCAGAAGTCAGGTGGGTGCAGGGGGAGTAGGGAGATGCTTACATGGAGCCCAAAGCAATGCCCAGCTCAGAGTCACCCATACACAGGGACCTGGTGCCAAGCATCCGGCCACCACTTCCAACACAAAGACCTGAGGACCACCCCTGGACCAGACCAGAAGTACAGCAGCCTGTGCCATGAGTGTGTGGCTGCCTGGGGTAAACCTTGTCACTCGCCAGAAGCACATCCAAACCCACTTAGCCTCTTCAGGGCTCCTTCTCCAGGACGCTGTGACAAAGCCACGAGAGTGACCTGAGGAGGAAACTCACATCCCCTTTCTGTGAGCCTTGTGACCCTTAGGTCACATGACTTCCTGGCCAGCCTCTTCGTGGACAGCAGACCCAGCACCTTGGCTGGGACTCAAGTAGTGATGGCCATGCCCATGTTTCAGCTTCGAGTCTGTGAGTCAGAGCTCTGCCGGGCTTCATTTCTAGTCCATGACGCTGTTTCCATGCACTCCTCACCAGTGGAGTTTGCCCGATACGATGCATATCGACTGAATGCTTGCTAAGCATCTAGCTCTGTGCCAGGAGTTCTGAGCAAAGGCACGTTTGGGGACACACTCTGAGGACCAGTGAGCTGACATCACCCCACCCACACATTGATGGCAGCCTCCCTAGTATAGGCCCTGAGTGTTGCTGGGCACCCACGCCTCCCTCTGTGTGCTTCCTTTGCAGGCATCACCAGGCTAGACGACCAGATATTCCTGAACAGGAACCCTGGCGTCCCCTCTGTGGTAAAATTCCACCCCTTCACACCATGCGTGGCGGTGGCAGACAAGGACAGCATCTGGTAAGCACCGCCCCCTGCAGACTTCCTTCCTGGGGAGCAGTCACCCAGTGCCTTAAACCCACATCTCGCTGCTGTCCTTCACCAAGCAGACAGCTGTCCCTTCTCACCTCTGACGCCTGACCTGCCCTTGCCTCTTTGTGGCTGCAGGACAGAGTTCTGACTGCAGGTCACACACAAGGCCAGGAGCTTCGAAACTGCTTCTGTAATAGAGAAGCTGGTGTGTGGGGGTCTCCCTAATTACCTCTCTTGAAAGCACAGTGTACAACTGAAAATCAGTGATCAAAAGATACCCTGTGTCCCAAAGAGAAGTCCGAGTTTAATTTAGAAAAAGTCTCACCCTTGTGTGGAGGCCAGAATGCCTGCTTGAGAGGGAGGAGTGTGAAGGGACTTCTCTAGCTTGTAAAATGCCTGCACTTTTCACCACTCTTTCTTACTCTTCTCTGTCTTTTAATTGTGTTAAAACTCACTCTTAGTCATGTTTAAGTGCACGGTCAGGCCACTAAGCACAGTTATAGTGGTAAACGAATTGAACTCAGGAGCACTCCTATCAGTGAGCTCCCTCTCTAGCAATTTTAATTTTTTATTTTGAAATACAATCTTGCTAAGTTTCCCAGGCTGGCCTCAGACTTGCAGTTCTCCTGCCTCAGCCTTATGAGTAGCTAGGATTACAGGTGTGTCCCACCACGCCCAGCTCAGGACTCTTTCATCTACCCAGACTAAAGCTCTGTTGCCGTTAAACAGTCCCTCCTCATTCTCCTTCCCTGCCCCTGACAGCGCCCACTCTACTGCTGCTGATTTTGACAACACCAGGGAACTCAGATGAGTGAAACTGTGCAGGATTTGTCCTTTGTCTGGCTTCTTTCACATAGCGTGTTCATCTGTGTTCTGGCATACACCAGAAGTCCGCTTCTTGTAACAGCTAGATCATGTCACACCCTCAGATGGACCCCATTTTGTTCATTCATTTATCTGTCACTGGCACTTGGGTTATTGAGTGTTGGGAGCAGTGGCTCTCGGCTCCCCTGAACAGTGCTGCTGTGAACGTGGATGTACAGACGCCTGTCTGCTCAGGGCTCTGCTTCCAGTTCTCTGACTGACTGGACTATGTGGGCTTGTTTGCTTTCTCTGAGGAAACGCATTACTGTTTCCACAGCGGGGGCCTCTTGTGTACCCTGCCGTACCCGCAGCAGAGCACAGGGCCTGTGGTTACTCTGCGTTCTCAGCCATGCTTGTTATTTTCTGCTTTTTGATAGCAGCCATCCTGGGGGTATGAGGTGGGGTCTCACTGTAGCTTGGGTTTGCACTTCCTTAATGACTAGTCTTATTCCTCTTCTTCTCTCAAGTTTTTGGGACTGGGAGAAAGGGGAGAAGCTGGATTACTTCCACAATGGAAACCCGCGGTACACCAGGGTGACTGCCATGGAGTACTTGAATGGCCAGGACTGTTCTCTGCTGCTCACAGCCACAGGTGAGTGGCCTGGCCAGCTGAACCCAAGCCAGGTACAGGGTGGAGGTAGGACAAATGGGAGGCCCCAAGACTCATGAAACACATTGGTTCAGTTTGTCACCTTGCAAAGGGCACTGCTCCTAATGAGGGCCACCGCTGTTCAGAAGTGGGGTTTATGAGGGACAGGGTGTGGGCACAGGCAGGAGCATAGAGGAGACTGGGACTGCCTTCTCAGCTCTGGTCCCCAGGCTTCTGCCTCAGGAGGATGCCCGGTCAGCCTCTGCCCTCTTTGTCAAAGATGCAGATGGCCATAGGTAACACCCAGGAATGAGGGAGGAAGCTGGCGCCCGCATAGCCTGTAGCCTCCTGGTGCCTCCAGCTGGTTCCCACTTGTGGCTGGTCCTCAGCACATGTTCCTGCAGGACAGCCCGTCCGGAGTGTCTCAGCAGTGGAGTGAATCGCATTCTGGGTTCGTGTCAGGGCTGCTTTCCCCCTTAGCTCTGAGACATCTTAATTTCGTGCTCATGTTGCCTGAAACAGTTTTCCAAGCCAGTTACCCTGGGCAGCAGCGGTTTTCCTTCAGCACTTTAAAGCCACGGTTCTGTGGACAGCCCCAGCACACAAGAAGCACCAGTGGTAGAGCTGCACGGGTAGAAAAGCCAAGCAAGAGGACAGGGAGACGGGAGCATCCTGTCATCCACCCTGGGCCCGCTGTCCTGTCCTGTCCTTCTTCTGTTCTGGACTTGGGCATCTGAGCCAGCCATGCTGGTGACTGTGACTGCCAGCATGACTCTACCTTCTCTTTCTCTCCCTTTCTTTGTTTTTTCTTTGTGGTTCTGACTGAAACGAGGGCCTTTACACTGAGCTGCATCCCCAACCGTTTTTGTGGGTTGCTTACTTTGTTTGTTTGTTTGTTTGTTTGTTTGTTTGTTTGTTTTTGAAACAGTCTTGCTAAGTCACTGAGTTGCCCATCTGGGTTAAACTCCAGATCCTCCTGCCTCAAAGTGCTGGGCTACAGCTATATTCCACCACTACAGGCCCTAGCTCCTCCCTCAAAGCATTGGCTCCCTCTTCCCTGTGTGATCATGAGGAATGACAGTCATCCTTCCAAGCATGGCATCTCAGGCCCAAGTAGGGTGAAACCCTTATCCAGAGCCGCCTCCCCACTGTGGGCATTGGACAGCTGAGACGAGACCATGTTTAGTAGGTACCAGCAAGGCCAAGCCAGATTAGGACAGGTCAGACAAGAGAACCTTTGAGCACCAAGGCTTGGGGGCATTGAACAGGGGCCTCAGAAGGCTCCAGCTCCCAGGCAGGGACCGTCACTGGCAGGTAGACATAAGGAGCAGGCCCTCATGTGGGGTAAAGGCTTGGCTTCGGCTCAGCTTCATGGGTCAGTAAGGCCAGAGTGGGGTCCTCAGGACAGAAACACCACACACAGATCCACATCCCTGCCTAGGCACTAGAGGATCCCTTGGAGCCTGACAAAGCGGGGAGGAGGGCTCCCTTCCCGCTCCCGGTCTGGAGGTTCCCTCAAATGCTCAGACTGGCATGTGCCGATCACCACAGGGAGTGGGGATGGAGGTGGACGGGGTGAAGCCCCTGAAGGTTGTGTCCTCTGTGACTACAAGATGAGAAACAAGGGGCTTGGAGACCAGGGAACCAGACGCGGCTGGGCTTCAGCTTCAACCAAGCCCTCCTCACCACTAGAGAGGGAAGCTTAGTAATAAGGCTCAGGGGAAGAGCTGCCCAGCTGGCCAGGTCATGCTCTGCAGCTTGCAGATGGCCAAAAGGTCATCTGCCTTTGGTGCCAGAGTGGTAGGAATGGGCATGCAGAACACTGTGCTGCATCCTGGGGGTTGTGCTCCAAAACATGAGCATGACCTGCAGGGCGGGGTCTGACCCCGTGCTAAGCCAAGCCAGGCCGACCCAGGGCATGGAGCCATGTCCCACCCTCTCTCTTCCTCAGATGACGGGGCCATCAGGGTCTGGAAGAATTTTGCTGACTTGGAAAAGAACCCAGAGATGGTGACTGCATGGCAGGGGCTCTCAGACATGCTGCCAACAACACGAGGTGGGTCTGTGGGCTCTGAGGAAGCCCAGAGTGTGTCTGAGACCCACGTTCTCCCTCATCCAGGAGTGCAGGAGATGCGGTTCCAGTGCCTCTTGGCTGGTTCCCCCAGTCACTCTAGAGCGCCTGAAATCCTCACCTAGCAGCCTCCCTGACAGCCACAAGAGTATGTAAGCCTCAGGGATCCCAGTACTCTGCTCAATCTCAGGGGTACCCCCAAATTGGGGCTGGCACCTGTAGGTAAGGCTGTCCTCAGCCAGGTGTGACTTGGAAAGGTCTTGTCACTGGTTGGGCCTGTGTGGCCAGCATCATGTGCTCCCTGTGGCATGTCCTAGGGAGTGGAAACCTGGACGGGGCCGAGGAGGCCAGTGGGCTTAGGGGCTTTACATGTCGCCTGCGGCACCCCATAGCTCAGGAGGAAAGAAGCACCCCTCGGTCAGGGGGGCCTCTGCAGGAGTCCAGAGAGCCACCACGTCAGACCTTTGGCCAGTGTGTTCCCAGAGCCTCCCAGCCCAAGTGTTTGTACTGTGTGGCCACTGCCCTCCAGCATGACACCCATGCCCTGCTGACACTAGGTGAAGAGTAATGGTGGCCCTGTGGTGGCTGTCTCTATACCAGTGAGTTGGGTCCTAGTCTAAATTCTGCTGGACGTGGCCTTCCTCCTCCCAGTCAGTGTCCCTGTGAGGCCTGCCCCAGATCTCATGGTTCCATATCTGCCCTTCTGTTCTGGGGAAAGATCAAGGCTTGGCTAGTTCCTTCTGGCTTGGATAGTCCAGGGCAGACATGTCCTCATACTGTTTGTTTTCAATTTGTCCAGTTTTGTTTAAGGGAACCTCATGTTTGCCTTCCCCCAACATAGCCGCATCTACCTCCCCTGGGCTCCTGGGAGTATCCAGGTACTCAGCATAGCACCTGCCATCTGTGTCTTGCCATTCCCCATATTGCCTGCCTTGCTGCACCGCAGGCCTCCACTGCCCTGTGCAGACCTGCTGATGGCAGCTCTGTAGCTGACAGGTGCCTGCAGCAGCCCTGACCATGGGGTATTCGCAGCTTCTCTCCATCAGGGTTGCTCTGCAGGAGACCTTGCAGATGCTTTGGCTTGCCTGCTTAGGTCTGGCTCCTCAAGACATTGCCAGCTTCCCACACAGGGATAGCAGGGCCTGGTCGGAGGCAGAGCTGGGCAAGGGCAAGGTCACAGTGGCTCCTCCTGGACCTGTTGGGCACCCCCATGCACTGGCAGTGTCAGTGGGTGGCTCTCTGAGACGCAGAGAAGAGTCTGCTCATGATCTTGCCCTTGCTTTTCTCAAGGAAAAGCATAGTAAGGAAGCAGCAGAGGGATGGGGAGAATGGGTGCCTGTCACCTGCCTGGAGCAGCCATCCTGGCCCTCCGCTGCCTTCCACTCACCTCGCAGTCCCAGAGGCCCCAGCCTCACCTGCTGTGTGGACATTTCCTGGCTGCAGGTGCCCACTGGCACCTGGACCCTCCCTTCTCTTCAGAATGGGTATCTTACGCCTACCTTCCTCTGTACCCTTCCAGCCCTGTCTGGATTCTCCAGTACGAGATGCTGGGTGACAGCTGGGGGTACTGCCAGGGAAGTGAAGTTGGCCCCAGGGCTGTGGACCTCTTGTCCAGCTCTGAGCCCCATATTGAGAAACAGAATCAGTGTACTCATGATGTAAGGTGGCAGACACTGTTCGTGGGCCTGCAAGCCTCCCTGGCCACTCTCCACCCCTACTTATTCTTACGCCTCCAAGCAGGAGCTAGGCTGACTTCTGAATCTGGCTCCAAAGCTTCTGCCTAGACAGAGGCACTGTCCTCTGCTGTTCTGGTCAGTGGCCCTGGCTCTGCTCCACAGCTACCCATACTCTCCTGGACCCCTCAGAGCCACTGAGGCAGCTCTGGTCAGTTTGGATGGATGCACTGAATGCGTTTCTAGCTCCAAATCCCCAACTGCGCCTTCTCCCACTCAAAGGTCCATCTCACCTGTCCACAGGAACTTTAGCTGCAGTCATGGAAGCTGAAACGCTTAAGCTCCAGTGTCTTCAAGGCAGCCCCTCTGGTTTCCCATATGGAGAGATGCGCTTTTTTAGGCAGAAATGCTGGTAACTGGGTGATTGTATCTGCCCAGCAGATGTCTTCCTCATCCTCAGCTGGGTGCCCCCGTGGTGCTAGGCCTTTTGTCACTTTCTCTCTTCCTTCCCTGTCTATGCCAGTTAGTCTTCTATCCTAGGTTGGTGTAACCTTGCTTAATTTTACCTTGACTCATCAATTTACTTGTTCCACCCCTTGTATTGTCCCTTCCTTTTGTCACCCACTGCTAAGATAACGTCAGCCTGTGATCATGTGCATTCACTGGGCAGGTCAGTTGCCTTTGGAAGCACCTGACAAGAGGGACTCAGGATGTTTCTTCAAAGCCAGACGGCTGTGGTTACCCCACTTGGGCTCCTCATCCCCCAAGGCAGATGTGAACCCCTTCCTCCTCCCATCCTCCTGCCTTGTCTCACGGTGACCACAGAGGTTCTGAGTCACCTCACACTGACCTGGGAACAAGAGATAACCCTGGAACAGGCCTTCTGAAGCAGGGAGTCACTGAAGCCTCCTCAGATTCCTGGCACAGTGCACTCCCCAGTGAGTCTCACCCACAGGACCTGCCCAAGGAAGTTGGTCCAGAATAAAATTTGTTCCCCATCTAAGCTTTCAAAAAAGATCCTGTCGGGCTGGGGATTTAGCTCAGTGGCATAAGCACCTGCCTAGCAAGCAGGCAGTCGTGAGTTCGATCCCCGGTACCAATAAAAAGAAAAAAGAAAAAAAAAAAAAGTATAAAAGAGATCCTGTCTTTTTCAGAATTTAATGCAAAGTCTCTGGAAGCATCTGTTGCCATAGAAGCATGGCATAGAAGTTTAGTATATCTCCAATGCCTGCAGATACACAGCATCAAAGGCAGGCTAGCAAGACCCCAAGAGCTAAAACTAGCTCTTTCTCTGGGCGTGCTGTTGAGGCAAGTTCTAAAAGAATGAGCCTCACTCGTCTGGCACAGATATACTTCTGGAGCTGATCTGCAGAATCCACGTTTCACAGGGTGACCACTTTCCATGGGCCTCCCGTTTCCTAGCCTCTCTTTCAGTGGCTCCTCAGGATTGTCACAGAGTCACAGCTGCCTTAGCACAAGCTGCAGGTGCTGGGTGATGTCAGATTGATAGGTATGGAGGTGGATCATGTCCCATGGACCTTTTGGACTCACATTTTAATACTTTGTGAAGAATTTTTATATTAAAAGTTCAAAGGAAAGAAAGACTGTTAAGGAAACTCGAGATTGACTCCATCTCTGTAAGTTTTTAAGAGGAAACTTAAAACCCAAGCAAAACCAACTGAGGGTACAATAGGAAAGATGTGGCAAAACTACTTCCTCTGAGATCCTAAAGAAAGACCAGAGGACCCCTGCTTATGGGGTCTGGGATGGGCAGGAGCTGGCAGCCTCACTTTGTCTTTCTAGTAGTTGGTCATACCGTCAGGTGTCCAGAGCTGGTACCCAGAACATAGCAGTGGGCCCACTCAGCCAAGCTTTTGGACATGAGCAGAACAGCACCATCCTCCAAATGCCACTGTCAGAGCCAGGCATATTTCCATTTCCAGGGTGGAGCTGAGGCAGCCAGAATGACACAGGAGCAGGGGTGTCACTGCAGTGTCCCCAGAGAGCAGTGAGACAGGCCAGCCCCAGACTGCGAATGCTGACTTATGTCTGGGGCTTTGGTGAGTTACTAATAGTCATTAAGTGCGCAGACAGGAAGCAAGCAGAGAGAGGACCCCAAGGCATGGGTGCTGTGACCAGGCAGAGAGAACCCATGAGTCGAGGGCCACAACTCCCCAGGGCCTCGAGTGGGAGTGCTGCAGACCTTGGAGGTTGCTCTGGACTAGTGGCTGGGTCCAGGCTGCTCATAGTCTGGTGAGGACAGAGATGGAGAACAAGCTCCAAAGCCTCATGCTAAGGGAGGAAAAGAGGCTATTGCACTGTCCACCACTGCACAGCCTCTCCTTCCTTGTCCTGAGGTTGACACAACATGGCTCGTCAAAAGGGTTCAGGAGGCCACCTGGACTTTGATCCATGCAGAGGCTGGGCCAGGGAGGGGCACCGCCTTCAGTCCTGATAGCATGGTACTGCTCTGAGGTCCCTTCTAGGGCAGCAGACCCTTGGGATGGTGGGTCTTGCAAAGGTCGCATATAGCTGAGGAAGTGCCCTTGAGGTTCCCAGAGTGCACCCGCATTCTTCATTTCCAACCAGAACCTGCCAAAGAGGCTGCTCTAAGAGGCAGCATAGCAGAGTCAGCGTGCAGAGCGCAGCTGGCAGGCAGCTTCTGCAGTTGGTTACATTCACCCAGAAGCCCTGGGTGCTCACTGTCCTGGTCTGGGACTGGGCTGCCTCAGTGACGTATCCCTCTTCTAGAGTCTGACATGGCTCCTCTGGGATAAGCCTAAACCCCTATCTGGGGTCCTAGTCCCCATCCAGCCCATATTTTCTCCCAAAAGAAATACCAGGGACTAAATATGTCCCCCAATTTCATATGTTGAAACCCTAACTGCCAGTGAAATGGAGATGGGGGCTCCAGGAGGTAACAGGATGACTGAGGAATAAGCACCACACAATCTACAGTATTTCTTTATGGCAGCCTGGGCTGGCTAAGAGCAGGGAGAAGCCCAGGGCTCCTATGTGACTTGAGCTTCCCATACCTGGTGAGCAGGATGTCAGCATATCTGTCTCAGGATGCCAGGGTCTTTTCATTGGTGGTCTTCACGTTGCTGCCACCATCTATAGGTCAGTCCTGGTCCTGGAGAGGGCTTGGCACTGCTGAGAAATCTGGATCAACTGCTCCAGCAGACAGTGCCGAGGGCTATCAGCCTGCATGAAACCAGCAGTCCTCCTAAAGAACAGCCCCAGGGATACTTGCTGAGGCTGCCCTGAACCACGCTCCAAGGAGTCCTCCCCCAGTGTGGTGGTGCAGCTGCCATAACTCCTTGCCCTGGTGGGGACCTGGGGCCAGAAGGGCCAGTGTACACTTGTGGACCATCCATGGCCCCAGCTTGGTGGCTTCTGCTCAGTGAGCTTACACTCCCTGTGTGGAAGTACCCAGCCTCCCTTTCTGACCTGGCCTCTGTCCTTTCCACCACAAGGCTTCAGTGTCCTGTGCTTTGCTGTCTGACAGCAAACATACCCCCAGGATTTAGGGGCTTGTGAAGTCACCTATCCTCTGTTGGACAACAGGCAGACACACATTAGCACCATATGGAGGATCGTTCTTTGTGTTCCACCCAACTGAGGCTCAAGTTGCAAACTTGCTTCTAGACTTTAGGCCTGTGACCTTGCATAAAGTACCATCAAGCCATACCTTCTTCCCCATTACAAGTGGTCAATGTCATGACCCATGGCTTCCCTTTGGGAACAATTTCCAGAAGCAGTAACTCATCTATTCTTAGGCCCAGGCCCCCAGTGATGCTAAGGTTTCTTGAAAAAGCAGTATTGAGGCTTTTGGAAAAGCAGTGCCAAGCTCCTTGGACTCTGGGTTTTCTTCCAGGTTTTCTTTCTGCAGAGGTTATCCCTGAAAACTTTTAAGATTCTCTTACAGAAAAAGAGAAGGTGGCCAGAGCCCGGGCCTGAAGAGACAATAGGGTCTTGGTTAGGAAGAGGCAGCAAGACCTGCCTGGAGCCGCAGTAGCCAGACAGGTGGGAAGGGGAAGTGATCCCGGGAGACAAGCGGAGCAGAGTCTGCGAGAATCAGTTTCTAGCTGATTCAAACGAAGGATGGCTCATCTATTCTTGGGGTCCCCCCCCCCAACAGGTACCAGAGCCCAATCCCAAGAGACTGCAGGGCATCCCATCCGTTCCAGAGCCTGCTCAGTTTCCCCACAGGCCACAGTGCTGGACTTCAGCCTGTCTGTCCTCAAGGGTGGCTGTATGGGCTAGGAACCCAAAGTCCAGAGATGCATGGACACTTCCTTTTCCTTTTCTTTTCCCCTTTTGTTTTCCTTGTTGAACTGGTCATACCTGGAAAGACTGGACACCTGCAGCTCACATGGCCTGCAGTTCCCTTTCCAGGGACTTCATCTTACTGCACACAGGCACATGAGGACATTGCTGGTTGTGCTTTGGTTTCCAGAGTTGGCACAGCTGAAAGATTGTGTACTGGAAAGTGATGTGATTTACATGAATTAAGTGGGTCTGTTTGTACTGAGTTGAACACATCCTTGAAGCAAGTTGCTAGAAAATGTTTTGCCGCTAGTGATGGTGGGAGGCATGTCTTACAGCTGATGGTCATGCAGGCCAAGTTCAAGCTCCCAGGCAGCTCCCTTGGCCCATGGGACTCATCTGGGGCAGAGGGCACACCTGATGCTTTCACTGCATCTGAAACTACTTTCTGAGCTGGGGTACAGCTCAGCAGTAGAATGATTGCCTACCACGCACAAAACCCTGGATTCCATCTCCTACTCCCAGAAAGAAAAAACAATTTTTTTGAGACAGCCTCACTGTGTAGCTCAGGCTGGACTTGGGCTCACTGTGTAAACCAGGCTGGGTTCAAGCTCACAGTGATCCTCCTGCCTCCAGCCTCCCAAATGTTGGAATTACAGATGTGCACCACCATACCTGCAAAGAAAAAATTTTTTAAAGAAAATAACAGTTCTTTTTTTTTTTCTTCAAAAAATATGGCAAAATCTTAGCAACTATTAGGTTATAGGTATAGGGATTTATTTCTTTTTGTTTGTTTGTTTGTTTTTGTCTCTTTTTTGGGACGGGATCTCGCTATGCAGTTCAGACTGGCCTTGAGCTCACTTTGTAGTCCGGGCTGGTCTCGAACTCTCAAGGATCCTCCCACCTCAGCCTCCCTGAGTGCTGGGATTACAGGCATGAGCCACCACACCCGGCTTGGGATTTATTTCTTTTGTGTTCTTTCATATATTCTTAAAATATGTAGAACCACATTTAAGTCTTGTCAGCTGGGGGTGTAGCTCAGTGATGGAGCACTTGGTCTTGCATGTGTAAGGCCATGGTTTGAGCCCCCAGCACCTCAACAGAATAGTTTCCAATAGAGTCCATTATGTGAGCATGCAGGTCACTCCCATCCAGTCCTAAGGCACTCTTGCTTTCTTTCTTTATTTAGTTAGTTAGTTTTTGAGATGGAATGGTATGTTTTACTGTATTGCCCAGACTGACCTCAAACTCCTGGCCTTAAACAATCCTCCAACTTCAGATCCTACACAGCTGTGACTACAGGTGTACACTGCTGTGCCCTGCTGGGCAGCCTTATTTCATTCTGGCTCTCCACCAGCATCCCCAACCTTGTATTCAGCCCCCTCTTTAGAATGCTTGCAGGTACAACTGCCCCATGGCCTGTGCAGGGTTCCCTCTTTTCTTTTCTTTTTTTTTTTTTTTTTTTGTCTTTTTCATTTTTATCGGTACCAGGGATTGAACTCACGACTGCCTGCTTGTAAGGCAGGTGCTTATGCCGCTGAGCTAAATCCCCAGCCCCTTCCCTCTTTTCTTAAATTAGGATTCCAGAGCTTTGATGTGACCAGGAAAAGGCTTATTTTCATGCCATGTAGCCATTTTCTGTCTTTTTCCTTTTTATTGGTACCGGGGATGGAACTCACGACTGCCTGCTTCCAAGACAGGCGCTTATGCCGCTGAGCTAAACCTCCAGCCCCAGGACTTGTGATCTTACTCTTCCTCTAGCAGCTGCTTTGTTGTAGCTAGGTTTTGAGGAGGCTCAGGATTCCAGCCTTGGAACTGCGCTGACCTAGACTCAGGACAAGTTTACATGGAGCACATGGACACCTCTGATGGGTTAAGGGCTGGCAGATGCTCTTGGAACACCGGCACACTAACTGTTTACTGTGTCTCCCAGGAGCTGGGATGGTGGTAGACTGGGAACAAGAGACTGGCCTGCTCATGAGTTCAGGGGATGTGCGGATCGTCCGGATCTGGGACACAGACCGTGAGACGAAGGTGCAGGTAACCATGGTGGGCCTGGCAAGTGCCTGACATTGTGCAGGTCCCTGGCCCTAACTTCTTCCCCCTCCTCTCACTGTAGATAGCCCTGACCCATAGTCTCTAGGGCAAGTGCAGTCCATGTTTGCCTCTTGCTGACCTGGGGAGGTGGGTGGACAGCAGTGTGCCTTGCTGTCAGGAGAGAGTAAAGCTCCTCAGCCTTGGAAACTTAATTACCTCTGGATATACATTAATCATCGCACTTTGACCCTGCATTGCAGTGTAATTAAGCCTATGCTAATCCTAATTATTTTCAAATATTGTTTTATCTGTGCAAATAGGGAATACCAGAAATCAGTAGGGTGAAATATTTTAAATTAGAGTGATTATTTCAATGTGAGCTTCCTAAAGCAATCTTTTTGATGCTGGGGATTGAACCCAGGGCTTCAAGCATGCTAAGCACACATTCTACCACTGAGCTGGACCCCAGCCCCTAAAGTATCTTTTATCTTCAGTTTAAATAAAGAGGGAAGAGTGTACTGGTTTTGCCCAGACACCTGGGAAGGCAGCAGGCCAGGCCGCTGTCCACTAGAATCCAACTAAGCACACCTCTTTTGGAGCACAGGAGGCCCAGAGACACTGCAGGGTAGTACCTGAGGGGCTTTAGTTTGAGAGCATCCTTCCTCCTGATCCCCAAAGAGGTGCAGACCAACCCAGCCTCTCCACCCTGCCCATGTGGAGGCATATGCCGTGTGCAGCAGGAAAGCTGCTCTGCAGAGCTGAGGCCTCTAACCCACCGCTGTCGGATGTTGCTATGGCTCCTCTGGGCGGTGCTGCAGCCAAGGTCACTCCATCCCCTGGTTGCCGTGGGTCTGTTTGGATTGTCCTCTGTCCTATTTGGAAATAAATCTTGATAAAGTTTCCCACTTCTGGACAGTACAGGGTGAAAATACAAATGCTCAAGGATTGTTTCCCAAGACAGCATGCAGACCTCAGTGATGGCTCCCAAAAAGTGGCCTCTCTGGCTGACCTGCAGGCTTATATCTCACACCCTCTGAGCTACTGCCTTTACAGGGTTGCCATGAGACAGCCTCTTAGGGTGTGTTGCTTCGAGGTGCCTGGGACTCATTTAGAGCCTCCTCCTCCCACCCGGACAGGGCTCTTTTATGTATTCCTGGGTTTCCTTTCAGGTGTTGCTGATGTAATTGGTGAACCACTTTATTCCCTCCTGAGGCCCATTTTTTATCTCCTCTCTCCTGCCAAGCGTTCATCACTGCTTCTGTCCTTTTGCAGTGTTTATGGGCGCCAAGGGGAACAGGGGAGCTGCTGCTCAGCTCTTCCCCCAACTAATTAGGAGATTTGAAAGGGAGCTGATGAGGGTTCTTCCCTGCCAAGATATTCTTCGTCGTTCTTTTCAGGAAGGAGGGAGGCGTGTTGGAAAGTTTAATTTGCACCCAAGCTGGGTGTCCCCAGAGCTGCCTGCAGGCTGTCACTGGCTCTTGGGCCCTGTCCGTCCCAGCTGGTGGGCAGAGCTGCAGGGCAGACTGATCCGATGATCGGGGCTGGACTGAGTCTGTGGGAGCCCCTTGCAGAGGAGACAAAGGCAGGAGGGTGATAGATGGGTCCAAGCAGGTGCTGCAGGCCAGCTAGATACCTCATCTTCACTGCCCTCTGCCTGGGCCTAGGACATCCCCACTGGTGCTGACAGCTGTGTGACAAGTCTGTCCTGTGATTCCCACCGCTCACTCATCGTGGCTGGCCTTGGCGATGGCTCCATCCGAGTCTATGACCGGAGGATGGCACTCAGTGAATGGTAGGTGCCTGCCTCCCTTCCCAGTGCTGTAGGGTCCTTTCACACAGGGCAGCCACCTCACTGCTGGTGTGTGGTCCACACTGCCTGGTGGGATGTGACTCTTCTCCAGGAGCTACAGTGGAACACAGGGCCAGCTGGGTGGCTCCAGTCAGGCATGTCCTTCACAGGCCGGTACCTACGGCCAGGGTGGGACTTATGCTTGTGACCTGGAATGAGGCTAGCAAGACGGAGTCCTGGCAGGACATTGCCATCTCAGCTCCAGGGCCTCCAGTGAATACCACACCTCCTCCTGGGCGTGTGTGTCCAGAGTGGCTAAGAGCACAAGTGGGCACAGCTTGGCACTAACCCATGTGGCTGCTGTGGTGGGCCCTGCCCAAGCAGCTCTATAGGACTGGTACCATTGCCTCCTTGCCAAAGGGCTGGACTGAGGTCCAGGACCCAAGGATGGGAGATGATAGAGCCAACACCAGTCCTGCATCCTGGGGAGTGACTGGTGCAGACCCTGGTCAGGGGAGCAGCCACGTGGCAGTAGCTATGGGAACTGAGGAAGCCTCAGGAGAAAGAATCAAGCCAGGACATCACCTTAGACGGTGATGGGCCTGGGGTCACCTGCTCCTGAGGATGGGGGAAATGTCTACCTGAGGCCTGGTTGGCCAGAGCAGCTGCAGGCCCCATGTGTCCTCTACCACAGGCAGCTCTGGTCATGTGGCCCCCTCTTTTGGGGGTAAAAGTGTGGATTTTATACCATGTCTACACTGTCTTTCAACTGCCTCCCCTCTCCAGAAAAAGCTCCTAAGGCTATAAGTAAACTTGGGAATTGACTCCACAAAGGCTGAAGAGTCCTGGGCCCTCACCCAGTGGGAAGGACCTTCTCCCACCAGGGACTGCCTGCCTTCACTGTCCACTCTCCCGAGGGTACACCTTTGCTGTGATCAGTACTGGGACTCGGGACATGTAGTCATACCAAAGGTCTCCCAGACAGGGGCTTCCTAAGCTGACCAACAGAGACAGGGCTGCCTGGCTGCTGAGCTGCTCTGGGGTTAATGGTGGCCTCGTCATATAGCGCAGGGCTCACCCAAGTGCCAGGCCAGGGGGGTACAATAGTGCCCACTGGAGCAGACCTGGGAGAGGCCACACGTGGGAGATAGAGGCCTGAAGACCCCACATTACAGGTGACCTGGGTGCTCTCAGCAAACCTTTTTCCCCGCCTTGGTATAAGGCCACATGGAGTGGCCTGTGAGACCTGTCACCCACAGGTATGATGGAGCCACTCCATGACTTGGGAAAGTTACCCAACCAGCTGCCCAGCCCTTCCCTGACGGTGCCTTCCTCCCCTGCAGCCGCATCATGACCTACCGGGAGCACACAGCCTGGGTGGTGAAGGCCTACCTGCAGAAGCACCCCGAGGGCCACATCGTGAGTGTGAGGTAACCACAGTGTGAGCCCTGTTGGGCTATAAAAATGCTATTCCCCTCCATTTAAAGTGTCCCTAGTGTTTAAACAGCTGGGAAGTGCTATTTAAATTTTGAGTTAGTAACTGACTCCTGCTAGGGGACTGGTCAGAAAGGTCAGGGTGTGGCTGGGGGCAGTACAGATGCCTGCCAGCTGCAAGCAATAGAAGCCGCAGGCAGACAGGTTCCCACAAGCAGTAGGAGGTGGGGGCTCAGGGCTCAGGTGGTCGCAGGCATGGTGCCAAGCAGGATTGTCGCGTTGTCGAGTTGAGCCATTTTCTGCACATAAATTCAGTTCTGCTGCTCGGTAAATACTGTGCTGAGAGCAGAAAATATTTATTTGCCTGTTAACAGGACAGCAAAATGTAATTTATGGTCACAAAGCCACCATCTCTTCAAAGAGATGCTCTTTTCTCCTTTGTGATATGAAAACAAACCGTAACTCTTGGGACGGACTGTGGGAGGTGGAAGGCAGGGATGGGGGCCTGAAGAGACTTGGCACACTCAGGTCTGTCACTGGAAATGGTGCCTCTTGCCTCACGTGCTGCTGTTGCGCACACCTTCTCTCCAGATCTGGCTGGAACATTCAACCCCTGGTCTACTCAGTGCCTTTTTCTGGCTCTGGGGAGGCTGGGCAGGCCAACCAGCAGCCAACATTGGGGTCCAGATGGGCTCAGCTTCAAGCAGTGCATGTACAAAAGGGCATCAGAGTCCACTGTTCCCCCAGTCAGGTCCCAGCCAGGGGCTGTAGGGTGTTCCCAGGGTCCTTCCCGTGGGTGTCACTGTGGCCCTCTCCTGCAGCGTCAATGGAGATGTTCGCTTCTTCGATCCCCGCATGCCTGAGTCTGTGAATGTGCTGCAGATCGTAAAGGGGCTGACAGCCCTAGACATCCATCCTCAGGCAAACCTGATCGCATGGTAAGGTGCCCCACCGCCCTGTGCTGGGGTTCTCTGCCCTCGTGCCTTCTGGAGGGCAAGCTGGAGGACTGGATTAAGCTGCACATTAGGAAGTGAAAGTGTTCCCTGCTGCATCCCTCTCCCAGAGCAAACCCCTGGGACCCTGTGAGGCATTTCTATGAGGACCCCTGAGTCGTTATGTGAAAGCAACAAGAAGCAAGTTGCTATTGCCTGAGTCAAGGGCTCTACCTGCCATGCCAGCCCTGTCCCTGTCCCTTTGGTCTTCTGCCTCTGGGCCCATCCTTTGTCCCACCCTAAAATGAGCAGAGGCTTGACATCCTGAGCCTCTGTACCACCTCCCTGCAGCGGCTCCATGAACCAGTTCACTGCCATCTACAATGGAAACGGCGAGCTGATCAACAACATCAAGTACTACGATGGTTTCATGGGCCAGCGCGTCGGAGCCATCAGCTGCTTGGCCTTCCACCCGCACTGGGTCTGTGCTCCTGCCAATGTTGAGCGGAGATGGGGTGTGGGCGAGTGGAGTGCTTGCAGAAGTCAAGGGGCCACCTTAGTGACTTCTGTGACCTGGGCCCCTCTCTCAGGAAAGAGTGGGCGGCACAAGAGGCGGCGTAGGGGTATCCTTGGGCCCTGAGCCCCTGCCTTTGGGGCCTCTTGGGTTAGAGCACAGGCTCCCTCTGCCCATGAGGGTCACCAGGCCATGGACTGTGCTGTGTGTTTAGATTTGGATGCCCGCTTTCCCTCCATGGCATCCTGCATGCAGCTCTCGGCTGAAGTACACGTTGGATTCCCAGAGCTACCTGGCTAGGGGGCAGTCGTGGAGAGCAGCTGTGGGGAACTGTGGAGGGTATGCAGATGGCCCACCATGGAGTGGGGCAGTGCATTGTCGCTGCTCAGAGCTGGCGGAGAGCAGGCCCATAGCTTATGAGCCCGTCTTGAGTTCAAGGCGAGGGGTCACAGGGCACCTGGGTGGGGTTCAGGCCTGCACTCCCAGCAGCCCTGCTCATGCCTCGTTCCTTTTTCCTCTCACAGCCTCATCTGGCCGTGGGCAGCAATGACTACTACATCTCTGTGTACTCAGTGGAGAAGCGAGTCAGATAGCAGCACCCCAGGACTCCCGCCAGGCCACCGCCGCGTGTACATAGTGAACCCACTCACTCCAGGTGTAGCGCCCCACCACCAGCGCCGGCTCCTGACAGCCGCTGCCAGTGGAGGAGGGTCCTTGTGCTTACTTCCTTTCTGTCTTCGCTGTAATATCCAGAAAGCCCAGGGCAGGGAGGGCCTTGGCTTGGCATCGCTTCTTGTCTCCAGCCCAGCACCCAGGCACCTGGCACTCATGGTGCATCATAGCACATCGTGGGCTCTTCCTGACCTGTATTCTTCTGAGGTTTCAAGGAGGACATACTTGTTTTATTTTCCATGTGACTAGAGCATTAGCTACCGAAAAAAAAATGGACCGCTGGTGAAGTGTCCTTAGGGCCTAAGGAAGCCATCCACCTCTAGCTGGCCAGCCACACTGTCCTCTCAGTGTGTAAGCCCAGAACCACTCTGAGCAGGCTGGATGCTCAAGAGGAGGGGGAGGGAAAGCAGGGTAACTGCAGCCGGCCAGTGTGACGGGAAGAGTGTGCCTGGCCCTCTCAGGACCCAGGCGCTCAACCTAGCAGCCTCCCTGTCCTGTCTGTGTCTCGGGACTGAGGAAAGACCCCTGCACAGCCAGACCCTTGGCTCAGCTAGCAGGCCAGGCTGCTGCACACAGAGCTGCTCCAAGACGGGACTGTGTGTGACTGGACAGATGGGTTGGGCTCCTTGCGGCAGTGGTTCCGCCCCAGTTCACCAATGCACCCACAGTGCTGCTGCTCCCTGGAGCAGTACCATGTCCTGGGGCCAGTCCCTCCCCCTGTGCCTGCACACAGGCGCTCAGGCACCGTGGGACTATGGGTAGAGCGACAGCCCCTACGATGGTGTGACCACAGCTCACCCCCTGCAGGCTGCGATGCAGAAGCCCCTTGGTGGCTCTTTGTGTGTCTGGCATGTGTGCACATGTGTGGGCACATGTGCGAGTTGGGGGAAGCTGTGTGGACGATTTAGTCCTGAGAAGGAGCACAGAAAATTGCTGAGCAATTGCACACAATACAACCATAATGATGGTGTTTCCGAAAGGATTTTTTCCATTTTCCTTGGGAATCAGGATCTTCCAGAGATGGAGGCGTGAGGTGGCTCAGTTGGTTCTGCCAGGAAGACGGGGAGCATGCGTCAGCACCAGGACAGAGGGCCAGGCCCCTCATGCTGTGGACAGTGGCTCACTTTTGGCTAAAAGCATCTTATGGGTACATGGAGCCCTGCAGGCAGCACTGGGCCAGCCTGGAGCAGGACAGGATCCGACAAGGCAGGGCAGAGGAGGAAGCCTGCTGCTGCCCCCATGAACACTCACTGCCCCAGGAGAAGGCTCCAGACGAAGTCACTTCCCCTCCTGGGGGTGAACAAGCAGCCTGGAGTCAGGAAAGCCCTAGCAGGTTAGGACCGAGTCCCACAAGCCCACCCACACGCTCTGCGGGTGGGGTGACACACTGGAAACTTCCAGGGGAGCTCTGCCCACGGACGCCAAGCAGATGGCCCCTGTGCTGACTCAGGTGGGTCAGCTCCACTCCAGCCTCACTTGCATTCTGTTTGTACTGAGACAAAAACCACACTGATAAGTGCAGATGACTCTGGAGGTGACAAGACCTTCCCTCCCCGTCCCCCAGAGCCCGTGGCATGGCCAGAAGCTACCACATGGGCTGGGTCCTCACAGGCTGGATGCAAAAATTCAATCATGAAGTTAACCAAGGCTTGAGAGAACAGTGACCTAGAGTTCCTTTATCTCTATTTATTTTACCAAAATGAGAATCGAAAAAGACTTTGACAGAACATGGAATTGTAAAATGTGAAACTATGAGCAGTGACAAACAATAAGCAGTTACACAATAAAGAAGTGCTGGACTGGCTGGCCGTGTGTGTCGTCCCTCGGGGCAGCAGTGTGCCCCCTTGTTGGTGATACCACCATGTGCTGAGGGTGGCAGCTGGGGCAGGGCCACCTGGCTGGCTGGCTGTCAAGGAGAAGGCTTGCTTCCAGGCCACTGTACCTTGTAGGGCCCTAGTCCTGCTTCCTGGTCACCTCCAGCTGGTAGTCTTCCTCATTGCCCCTCCTGCGCTCCCATCTCCCCCTTCTGCTTCAGGGGACACTGCCTGGCCTGGGCGATCCTACAGGCAGCTGGTCAGCACAGCTACCCCCTTTGCCAGGTAACGAGACATGGCTGTGTCCCAGTGGTAAGCTGTGAATGCCTGGTGGGCGTCATTATGCATACAGTCCCTGGCTACCCCAAACACGCAGGAAATCCTCAGCCCCGGCTGCCAGTGCTGGGGAGGGCTGGGCTCTAGTATGCCATGGCGTTGTCTTCCAGCATGGCTGGGTTGGTTCTGGCTATTGTGTGCCAGGCATCTCTTTGGCCTAGGGGCTGCCTGCAGCAAACCTGGGGCCATGGTGTGGCGAGCAAGGGCAGACTGTACATAAACAAATTTCCTGAGACATGTCCACAGTTCTGGGCCCTGGCCAGGACAGTGGAGAGGCAGTGGTTGCTATGGAAACCTGGAGGCACTGGGCTGGGATGCCTGGATCACTCAGGCAGTGCCGTAGCTCTGCCTGAAGAGCAATGATTTTCCTGTTACCATCGGGTTTCCTGTCAGCAGGACCTGAGTACAAATTGAGTTTTCACAAGAAAGGGTGGGCCAATCCAGCAGGGTGGCAAAGGCCACACTAGACCTCTCCAGCTGCTGCAAGGCCACATGGCCACAGTGAAGAGCCAGGGACAGCTGCTGGGACAGGAGTGTGGGTACGTGTTCCCCCAGAGAGCCAGTTTCCTCTGGAGCTGCCTCTATTAGGTGGGGCCTCAGGCACCTGCCACATGGGGCGATCACTGCCTCCCACCCGTCCATATGTCTGTGTCCCCTTCCTGGAGTTTGAGCAGACACTCCCAGGGGAGTGGTCAGAAGGGCTGGCCTCTCAGGTCACTATGAGTCAGTCACTGGCTTGGTCAGGAACCCACAAGGCCCCAAAAGTTGGACACCGTCTCCGTGTCAGTCAGGTAAGGCCACAGAGAGACCCTCAGAAGCAGGCGACAAGTGAAAGAAAAGAGGGATGGGGCAGCAGGACTGGTGGCTAAGTGGTAGCCCCCAGCATGGCCTTTAAAGAGATCAGCTGGGTCCTAATTCGAACTGGCATTCAAATGAAAAGGAGACAAAAATATGGGGTCTGCAAGCCCAGGAGAGAGACCAGTGCAGCCCAGCCCACCTCACCTGGAGTGAGGGCACAACCTTATCCTTTAAGCTACTGGTCAGTGGTGCCTGACCACACGACCTGGGACACTGTGTCCACTGGCACCTTGGAGCCACACCTAGACGCAAGACGCACCCTCAGGCTGGCAGCTGGGCAGTGTCTCCTCTTCCAATGGATACAGTGACCATAGGGACTTAAGTGCTCGGGGCCAAAGCCGCTGGAAGAGCACAGGCACTAGAGAAGGGTCTGGTGGAGGCCGTGGTCACCAGAGGCCTTCAGAGCCAGGGAGGGCACTATCTTGGAACCAGATCTGTGGCTCCTTAGCTGAAGGAAGGACATGCCTTAGCTCCCCACCACTGACCAGTGGCTTAAAGGGTAGGAGCTGGTCTCCTCACAGTCTAGGGAAGGTGGGTGGGACATGCCTCTAATGTGGCCCCTTGGACAACTGCAGGCCCAGCTCTGCCACCTCCTATACTCACCCACCTGCCCAGGTACCACCCTGCGCCCTCACCCCACTGGTCTAATCAGAGCCTCCACTTGGCTCAGGCTGAGCCTCACCTGCTTGAGGCCTGGCACCTCCTGCCCCAGCCCCTCCTCGCCCCATGGTCCTGAGACCCACAGCTACGTACAGGAGTGGCTGCATCCAGGCTCCATCTGCTGCTGTGTGGCCCCAGAGGAGTATATGGGCTCCTCTGACCCTGCCCAAGGCCCTGCCTCAACTCAACAGGAGGATGAGGAAGCACCTGAGACTGCCACACATACCTTGGGGTGCTTCGACATCTGGGAGCCAGAGCCACAGGGGACTCCCTCCTGTGGCTCCACCGCCCTCTGGCATGGGTAAGTGGGCATTCTCAAGCCAGGGGTGCTGGGAGGGGCCTCATGCTCCTGGGCCTGGAGACATGGTCACAGCCATCATCCACACCCTCTGTGTGACACCAGAGGCAAGATCAGGGGCCCCAAGAGCATGGGGGCAGGGCTGCCATGCTTGGGACTTGGGACGGGGAGGAAAGTGGCATCCTGGCCAGCAGTGATGCTCATGGGATCTTCTCATCCTCAGCCACGGGGCAGCCACCCCGGACGTGCTCCTGGGGACACAGCCTCTGGCCCCACTGGTGGGCCAGGCTCCCGTCCCCAGAATAGGGAAGCAGCTGAGTGCTCCACTGTCCCTCTGTCTGTCCCCTGGCCCTGAGTTATGATGAGCCTAGGAGCCAAGGGTGCGAGCAAGGTACTTCCCACTACCCTGCAAGACTGGCCCTTCTCTCCCTGGAACTGTGCCGCTTCCTCTGAACACCCAAGGCCTCACAGTTAGCTTCCAGGGCCAAGGAAGTCACCGGCCATTCATCGTACCAGGCCACTCCTAAAGAGGAAAGACTTGTCCAGCAGTGATGGCCACTAAGGCCATGCTGCCACCCAGGCCTCCGAGTCCTGGGGTCTCCATCACATGGAGCAGGTATGACCCAGATACCCTCAGATGAAAAGACAAGCCCTGCCATGTCTACAGGAGGAGATGGGTGTCTCAAAACTGCAAACTTGTCTGCCCCCACAGCCCCTGAGACAAGGTGGACGGGTGCAGGAGGCTGTGCCTGAGGACCTGATCCCCAGAGGCCCAGGGAAGGCTGATCGTGGAGGCAGGATATATATAGCCTCTGACCGAGGACATCAGGGGCAAGGGACTGAGAGCTCTGGGTCCTAGACAAGGACCCAGAGACCTGTCAGCATCCCCCAACTGGAAGCCCAGGTGGGGTTCCTCCAGCAACCCAGGGGGCTATGAGAGCCCCAACCATCTGCAAGACCCCTACCCTGTGGCCTAGGAAAGGAGCTGGTGATGCCCCCGGCACTACAGAGAATTGACAGGCCAGTGACAACCACAACCAACGGCAACATGGAACCCACAATGGTTTGTATCTGTTTATTTATTTTGCTATTTAACAGAATGTTTTAGGAATAAAACAAATGATATAGCAGCACTGAACAAGCTGAAAAGTAAAATAAGAAATGAATTACCTGGGAAGGAACAAGATGCCTACCGGCAAACTTAACAAGGAAAGCAGAAGATACGCCCACTGAGACGCCTATTTTCCTGAAAATGAAACCAGGTCTAACATTAATTTTTGTTCCAAAAGACACAATAAAGCTTATTTTCAGGGGAAGTTTTGTTTTCTTTTGTTATGAACAAAAATCTATGTTTATTCAAATATAGTCATGTCATCATCTTCTGTGACAGCATCGTATCTCCCCAAACCCAAATTCCGGCCTGAACTTGCTGCGACTCCATCTCCCTTAAAACCACTGGCCTCCACCTCCTTTGTCCAGCAGCAGCGCTGTCTTCCTGTCCACGCAGCCTGCTCCTAGTGCACTGGCCACACAGCTGCCAGTGATCTTTACCCCACAAATTTTTCACCTAAGCACGACCTCTGGCAGGCTGGGTTGCACAAAGTGTCCATAAATCAAGTGTTAATTGAACACTTAGAAGTTAGCAGTAACAGCAGAAATGATGGCAGTTAAGAGTGATGCTCCGCACAAAAGTGACAAAAAGTTCCTGGCACCACAATTTAGCAGTCTTCATTTCACAGGAGCGCATTAAGTATATCGGATTGAACACATGACGACGAACTGAATTACGAAGATTCATGTTAGACACAGCCACACTCACTCGTTTAAGCACACAGTTGGGCTCTAGCTGGTCACTCAGCAACGTTTCAAGTTCATCTGTTTACATAAGCATTTACCTTGCATCCAAAGGCACCTACTTGTGTATTTTATATTACCATGTATTTAAGTTTTGTCAATATTATTTACTTATACTTACTATGTTAATTTTTGTTTTGCTTTTTTTTCATTTTGAGACAGTGTCTTGCTGTGTAGCCCAGCCCTGCCTTGAACTCCTAGTGATCCTCCTGCCTCAGCTTTCTGAGTCCTGGGATTACGGCGTGTGTCAGCATGCCTGCTGTTAGTATTATTTTATAATCCAGTCCATTCGTTGAGTGTTGCAATGGACATACTAAATGCATCCATCCAAAGATCTTATCTGGGGCTTATGTTGGGGGTCAGGTTTATTTTCAGGGAAATACAGTACAAAACAGGAGTGAAAGTTAGAAGACCGAAATAGATAGAAACACATCCCAAGTTCATGGGTCAGAGGAACTAATACTACTGGGAAGGCGGCCATACTCCCCTCAGTGACCCAACAGTCTCACATCCCTATCAAAACCCCAGCACCCATTAAGCAAAAAACAGGAAACCAACCCTCTGACCCATACAAAGCTGCAAGGCTTCCAGAAAGGCTTCCCATGGCGTAGTGGTACCAGCGTCTGGGGAGGCAGGAGAAGAGTGACCGCCCACCCAGATGGGCACGGGGGTGACGAGAACGTGGTAGAGGTGAAGGTGGCACAACTCTGTGGGCAGCAAGGCCCCTCCAAGTTGTATACTTTTAAATGGTTAATTGTGTGCTACATGACTCTCAGCTCAATTTTTAAAAAATGGCAGCCCAGGACAGGCAGGCAAACTGTTGGCGGAGCCCCTGTCCAGAGCACATCCCGGTCATTAGCGTCTAGCCCAGTTTCACCCCTCAGTTGGTGCAGGTCCAGAAGGAGGCAGGGGGTGACTTTAAAGTCCGAATGCCTGCTATCTCTGCCAAAATTCACACTGCAAGTCTCCTAAGAGGGGCCTTTA